AAATGACAAAAATTAAAAAAAAAAAAAACAACCTTTTCCCGGACTGTCTGAACGGTTCATTAACAGAACTGGAGCGCCGCCGGTGAAAACTTTATTTTGCAGCAAAATTTTCAAGAAAACCAGGCGGCCTTTCTTTAAATAATCTGAATTTTTATGAATGCGATATATAAGTAATAAGTTTTGTTTATTCGAATATTTGATAAATATCATACAGAGAAATACAATTTCTACAGCCATTAAACATACTCACTAAGAAAATTATGTCTACAACACAGAGATCAACTAAAAGTAAACATTATAACATCTCCGATTAACGAATGTGTTATATCAGTTTCACAAGAATATGGAGCATTAAAATCAGCTTTCAAACAAAGTACAGTAGTCTCGATTCTCTTATATGGATGTGAAACGTGGACACTGTTGATAGATACAGAGAGAAGGATCGAAGTGTTTGAGAACAAATGCATGAGAAATCTCCTTGGCATTTTCTATTGGGAAAAAAAAAACAATTACTTTGTGCGGAAAAGGGTGGAAAATTTTGCGGGTTACCAGTAATCTCTTCTCACCATTTTCAAACGGAGAAATATGGAGGATTTGGACACATTACAAGGCACGACAGCCTGTTTAAGACCATCATGCAAGGCACCATTTGAAGGTTGACATAGGAGAGGACGCCAACGCAAAAACTGGTTGGACAATATCAAATAATGGACAGGTGTGACTATACCAGAATTGCTGATGGCTGCTGATGGCTGCCGTTGATGGACCGTTGTGGAAAAGAGTTAGTGTGCCTTCTGCATTCAGATCCGACCTACGATTACAAAAGTCAAGGGGATGATGATCATGATGATATATCAGTTTATAGTAATTGACATATTCACTTAGTGGTTTAATTAATGATAATCTCAAAAGAGATTCTTCTAATATATGTAGACCAGAATGAGAAGTTATTTTGTCTATATCTTTCAAAAGATTAACCATACTTAAACATGACTAATGAGTTGTAAAGCTTTCCTTTGTGATACATCGCGTAGTCAGACATTTCATCATAAAAAACATTTTGTTTGTTGTCTGTTGACACTAGAATCATTCGTTAATTTGATAGTTAAAAAAAAACAAGTTCCCTGGGAAGTCGTCTGTTATTGGTTCAAGAAAAAACAATAGCATCTCCTTCTTCGCGATGAATAGTTAGTTAGTTAGTACTATAACGATACATTCCGTAGATCTGAAGTGTCATTTCTAAACTTATTCTCCAAGCATATTTCAGCTTACGGCCATATCACGTTGAAAGAACGATTCTTGTACGATCACTGAAGTTAAACAACATAGAGCCTGGTCAGTTCCTATATGATTAACCTCTTAGGAATACTAGGTCTCTTAAGCTTGGATGTGCAGGTAGTGTAATGGAGAACAGAACGGAATTGAAAATCGGAGAGCCGGGTTCCAATTCCAGTAGGTATCGTTATATTCAAATATCCTCGGAAAAAGGCATGAATCCACGTCTTCTCGATTTATCAAAATATCAAATCATCACGATTCTAAAAGGAAACGGAAATACCTATATTGTGCCTACTGCGCAGACTCATTAACCTGCTTTTCTTTGATAAATTGTGCAATCTACCGGATAGGTTAATTAGTATGACTTGTATCAGTAAGTCATTATTATCGCTAAAAACTTCTTAAAATATTTTCTGATTTTAAAGAACCTGTAAAAGGTTTATAAACCGTAAAAAAATAAAATCACTCAATTCAAATATATTTGCTCCAATTATTGACTCCGTCTTCAACGACAGAAATTTCAGAAACTGCTGTTGAGTGCCTAACTGCACGATGTAATTTAAGCGATTTACTAAGATTATTAATTCGAATGATACAAGCTAATAAAATGTCATTGTGGGATAGGGTTAATCCGATGCATGAATTGTGGGGGTCGGGAGTTTCACACCCCGTTATGAGAAGGGTAAATGGTCTTAATTTGCCACGCTTCTCTTTTGTTGCATGAATTGTGGGGGTCGGGAGTTTCACACCCCGTTATGAGAAGGGTAAATGGTCTTAATTTGCCACGCTTCTCTTTTGTTGCATGAATTGTGGGGGTCGGGAGTTTCACACCCCGTTATGAGAAGGGTAAATGGTCTTAATTTGCCACGCTTCTCTTTTGTTGCATGAATTGTGGGGTCGGAGTTTCACACCCCCGTTATGAGAAGGGTAAATGGTCTTAATTTGCCACGCTTCTCTTTTGTTGCATGAATTGTGGGGGTCGGGAGTTTCACACCCCGTTATGGGAAGGGTAAATGGTCTTAATTTGCCACGCTTCTCTTTTGTTGCATCTGCCGTACAGAAGAACTAATTAATTTTTCCTCTGATTGAAGGAAAACCAACTTGCTTGCATCTCGGGGCAGGATTCAGATAAAGTTAGGCCCACAGAGGTTACTCTATTGATTCTGTCTGTGGTAGATTCTTTTTGAGCCGCTGTGTAGACGTTGGGGGAGACTTGGACATAAGTGCTTAGTGAATTAGTTGTTGCTATTAACAGCTGTGGCGAAGAGGTCATTGATTAAGTTTATACAAATCCCGCTTTAAGTTTATATTAATCCCGCGGTATATCAAAGTTAATGTGATTGGGCACATTAAGAGAATTGTCAAACAGGATAGTGGCGACTTACTCAAGGAAAAAAAAAATATTGGACACCTGGCACGGTAAAGATTAAGAGATTGTTGCTAAGAAGAAAAGGAATTGAAGATCGTATGAAAAAGTAATTGTTGACGACTGTTTTTATTTTATTTTTATTTATAATAAGTTTTGGTTAATATTAACGACTAATTTTTTTGGTTTGGAGAGGATATTGCCTTTGAAGTGACAAGGGCAAATAACTCTTATTGATTTGAAATATAGTAACCAAACTAAAAAGGAAAATTATACGCCACACAGTTACAGGGTGCATCATCAAAATCCAGGAAATTTTATATTTATATGATAAAAAAAATTAACTAATATATATATATAACTATTAGGACCTTGAATATGTTTTCGCTGATTTTTCATGAAAATTAATGTTTTATTTACAAAAATTAGTAAGAAACATGTCACTGAAATTATTGTCCATCGCTAGCCACCACTTTTTCCCATCTTTCTGGCAGCATTTGAATTCCACGTCGGGAAAACGACACGTCTTTTGAGACTAACAACGAGTAGACCCATTTTCTGGCATCTTTATAAGAATGAAAATGCTGCTTAGCCAGCCAATATATCATCGATCGGAACAAGTGATAATCGGACGGGAGAATGTCTAGTGAATACGGCGGGTGGGGTGGGGCTTCCCATTTAAGTTTTCACCTGTTTTACAACATTTGGACTAGCGCGGTCATGTTGCGTCTCTGCTCGTATAGCCGCCGTTCTTTCTTCAATACTCGGCTCAAACGTATCAATTTTAATCGATAGCGATATCCAGTGATGGTTTCGGTCGGTTTGAGCAGCTCATAGTAAACTACACTCAGCTGACCCCACCTAATGCAGTAGAATCTTCGAACCATGTATATTCGGCTTTGCCGTCCATGTTGATGCATGGCCGAGCTTTCCCCACGATCTTCTACGCTTAGTGTTATCATACTGTATTCACCTTTCATCGCCGGTCACGATACGATGCAAAAAACCTTTCCTTTTCTGCCGTTGAAGCAAGTGTTCACACGTGACAAGAAGCCGGTCGACGTCTCTTGTGTTCAACTCGTACGGCACCCAATGTACATACTTTTTAATCATTCCTAATGCTTTCAAACGTTTCGAAACTGTTGTGTGATCAACTTCTAATGATTCTGCAAGTTCAGCTTGCGTCTGATATGAGTCTTCATGAAGTAATGCCTCCAATTCTTCGTTTTCAAATTTGTTCGATGCGCCAGAGCGTTCTTTATCTTCAACATCAAAATCATTATTTTTGAAGCGTCTAAACCAATCTCTGCATGTTTTTTCCCGACGGAGGATGGTCGCCGTAAGTTTCAACAAGAATTCTGTGTGATTCAGCTGTAGATTTCTTTTGAATAAACTGATGCAGAAAAATTCCTCGCAAATAGACTTTGTTTGGCACGAAATCCGATATGTTTAACGCTATAAAAAACGAAGTTGTTTACACTTCCGCGAAATGAAATACACTGAATTTCAAGCTTGCTTATAGTACTTCCTTATAAATGCGCTGCCATCTGAAACTACACGTTCTGGGAATGCCATTTGTTGAAAAACAGCGAGGTCTTATTCATGGTCCTAATATATACTTTACTATAGGGATGAACTAAAAAAAAATAAGTAACATATTTTTTTTTAACTATTTCTTGTTTCAGGATGCTGCAGTTGCGAAATTTTCAACGTGAGTTGATCATTCTCATCCAACAATTTGTGGACTGAAAAAATGGCAAGAAATTTAACATTTGTGTTTTTGTTCTGTTTTAAACTACTAAATTTCTTCAAATAAATGTAACAAAATTTCAACAATTAAATAAACTGTACCAAATTATTGTTTTTTTTTGGGGGGGGGGTCACGCTGCAGAAATAAGGGCGAATAATCTAGGTACGACTCTCATAGTTTCTGAACTCAATTAATAACAGTTTTAGACATGTACATATCGTCTTGCTGAAATATGATGTACTATAGTAAATATGCTGTTTACCACCATATAATTGTATGTCATTTACCTTAAGGTAACTGTTGTGGTAGGATCCACCTAATTTGCATAGTGGAGTACCGACCATATAAATATAGTTGGTACCGGAAAGAGAGGGAGGAATCAAAAGATTCAACCAGAGACTCTGCCCGACTGCGACTCAGTCAACACATTCTCCCGGAATGGTCTTACCAGGAATATACAAGAGACTATATGTAAATATTGTGTACACTTTCTTGTTTCAATTCATTTTGTTCTAAGTACATTTTGTGTTGAATTATTATTCCATGCATTAGTCAAGTTTCAACAGTAACCATTTAGGCTTAAGGTCATATAGCGTTGAAAGACTCCCTGTGCGACCACTGAAATTAAGCAATGTCGAGCCTGGTCAGTACTTAGATGGGTAACCGCTTGGGAATACCAGGTACTGTAAGGTTGGCTGTGTAGGTGGCGTAATGGCTCGTAATTATTAATCAGAGAGCCAAGTTCAAATTTCACTTGGATTCGTTATATTCATTTACGTACAGATACGCTTGGGAAAGGCATGAACCCACCTCTTCTGCCCCAAGATATGGTTTAATTACTATCACTAAAATCATTCTTATCTTTTAAATAAAATCCTTACAAGCTAAAAGATTTTCTGGCTTTAAAAAACCTGTAAACGGTTGATAAGCCTTAGAAAACGAATCAGGCAATAAACCAGTTGGACTTGATACTAGGATGAGTAACAAGAAGATTATCCTCTGGGTGAAGTGGGAAATGAAGGTTATTCGACATGTTGGAAGTGGCATGGTGTGTCTAAGCTGTCACTGTTTGAATTGGTAGAATTCAAGAATAAACATCCCGAACATATATAAGATATCTTCATCTCTCCTAAGATCATAAATTTTAATCAGTCATACATGGAAAGACATGCAAAAGGAAACTTTCTATAAAATTATAACCATTGCGAGAAATTGTAATATTTACCTTGTGAAATAACAATAGCATAAAATGTTCACCGATTGCGAAATATAAAGTCTTCTTAATTAGTTCAATCATTTTTTTGAGAAATCCTCAGTAGAGTGACTGGAGCGATAAACCTATGTATCGAGGTACTACGTGTATTTAGCAGGCATAGATTAGCTCGGCATATAACTGAAATATTCGCAATAAACAGATAACTATCCAAAGCTTAATTTTTCGAAGATTACCAAATGCTAAATTTTAAGAACTACACAATGCTTACACTTTGGAAACTTACCAAATGCTTAATTTCATTCATATCCAATGCTTAAATTCTGTAATTCTACCAAATGTTTAATTCAAGAAATTCTAATATGCAATGTATGAAAATCTGGTGAATTGTCCTTTTCAAGCATTCTACCCAATATCTACTTTCAGGAACGATGGCTAATGCTATATTTTAGGAAATATACCAAATAGTTAATTTCAGGAACTTTACCCGATGCCTAAATTTAGAACCAAGTGATTAACTTAAGGCTCTCTATATCCAAAGATTAATTGTTGGAACTTTACCCAATGCGCAATCTAGACAATTTGACCATAGCTGCCAGAATTTAATGAATCAATTTTCACTGTATTTGTGTTGATTAAAGAAACCAGTTTTGAAAGTTAGTTTTAGATCTTTGAAAAGAAGGTGCTAACACTTCACTATAATGAGGTTTATTGATTGGTCGATATGGTTTTTACGGTTTATCAATCTGTTACAAGTTATTTAAAGCCAGAAAATACTTTTAAATTGTATGAATATATTGTAGATAATAATGATTTCCTGATACAATTCCTACTAATTAATCCATAGCTAGGGGCTAGAAGGCGTGGGTGCATACCTTTTTTCATCGTGACGTTAGGCACTCAACAACAGTTTCTGAAATTTCTGTCGTTGAAATCAATGATGGCAGGAAATATACTTACCTGGCACATGTCAGAGGGTATCTCCCAGACGTGGCTCTGCCCGAAGGGCAGAGTCTCGTCTCGGGAAACTGACTCCGTTTTTACGTGGTCTATAGGGAATTTTTGCCCGAGCCTACGGGCTCGGATACCCGACTTTAAAACTCGGCCTTGTGCCACATCTTTTATATTATAATCGAATTGACTAATTTTATTTTTTACAGCTTATAAATCTTTTAGTTTTTAGCGATAATAATGACTTACTGATACATCTTACTAATTAGCCCATAGCTAGGATCGAGAAGACGTGGGTTCATGCCTTTTCTCGAGGGTATTTGCGCGTAATTGAATATAACGATCCCGACTGGAATTGCAACCCGGTTCTCCGATTTCCAATTCCTTGCTGTTCTCTATTACACAACCCGCACAGGAGTTTAGGAGACCTGGTATCTCTAATCTGTGACCCATCTAGGAAGTGATCAGGCTCGACGTTGTTTAACTTCGGTGTTCGTACGAGAATCGGTCTTTCAACGTATTATTGCCATAAGGCGTCTGCAGTAGGTGGGGTTAGCTTACTACACCGACGAAATCTACTGTTCGTCTAGCTTTTTAATCCTTGCTCAAACGTAAGTCACCCATCCTATTACCATGGTGCCAGTTGTTTGTTCCTCTTTTTTGTAGATTTTGTTAAGAGAGAGGAGATGGGCTAAACACGTATATTTATAGCTAGCTTGATTTACTTTGAGGTTAGCTTTATTCTTTTCTCTTGCTTTAAAAAAAAAAAGACGCCTTGATTCAGCCATGTCAATTATTGTACAGAAGGCGCTAATGCGATCTTTGGAAAAGTAATCGACAAGGTAGAGATGCTAGCGTGGTTTTCTTTTATTTTCGGGCGATGAGAAATAATTAGGCCTTTGGCTGGTTAAGAAGCAGATGAACCGAGATTAGGGTGCCAGCAAGCGTGTTAGTTTGTTTGGTTGCAAAGTAGATGAAACATTAGGTTTATGATATTCGTGCTAGCGAACACACGCATATTCACCGACATACACAGCTAAACACGCGCACATATAAGGAATTACATGCAGGCATATATCGAGAGACAGGAGGAGGACAACTGTTAAAATATAGATTTCACAATTCAATTCTCGTAAAATTAAATAAATTTAAAACAAGGCGGAGTGCAAATAAAAAATCTTCAAAATTTTGGAAGCTGTTTTAATAAAAGAGAAGCAGCCAACATTAAATAAGGTGGCTTTCATAATAATAATAATAATAATAATAATCATCATCATCATCCGCTTGACTTTTGTAATTGTGGGATGGGGATCCAAATACAGAAGCCATGTTGAATCTCTTTAACAACGGTCTATCAACGGCAGCCTTCAGCAATTCTGGTAGAGTCACACCTGTTCATTGTTTGACATTGTCCAACCAGTTTTTGCTGTGGCGTCCTCTCCTACGTCCACCTTCGACGATATCTTGCATGATGGTCTTGCACAGGATATCGTGCCTTGTAACGTGTCCAACCCACACCATTTTTCCCCCGTCTGATAGTGGCGGGAAGAGGTTCCCGGTGGCCACACAAAACTTTCAAGCCTTTTCCGCACAAGCTCATTGGTTTTATCTTCCCAATAGAAAAAGCGAAGGAGTTTTCTCATGGCACGCTTAATAAGGGACCGTATATCGAAATGTGTTTAAAAATACAAAACAAAACTCTCACACACATAAAAAAAATCCAGTTTGATCGTGTATGTGATGTCACCTTGAGTAAGTTGATAAATTTTGGTAAATTTACCGATAAAGCAAAATAACTCTTTAAATTTTCCATATTATTTAGCAAAACATTTTTGAGAGAATTCCTGCTGCCAAAATACACCTTACACACACATGTGTGCGTGTGTGTGCGCGCTTGTGTGTCTGTAAATATAAAATGGGCATTGAAGTTTACACCCAGCGGCGACAGTCTGTTTCATGCTTAAATGAAAATATCTGACGATTGTGTTTAAGCATGAAACTGACTGTCGCCGGTGGGTGTTCACTTCAAAGTTTATATTTATATGCTCTACCCCTCATATTGAACAATTTAAACATAACACACATATATTTTGCATACCTTAAAACTGTTTTTTTTACCATACCTACATACGTACATATATACAGATACAAACACAAACACACACACACATATGTATTTATATACATCTATATGTTCATTCATATATATATATATATATATATATATATATGTTCATTCACACACACAAACACACACATATATATGTATTTATATACATCTATATGTTCATTCATATATATATATATGTTCATTCACACACACACACACACACACACACACACACACATATATATATATATATATATATATATATATATATATATATATGAATGTCCTCTTCCCTAATATTGTAAGTCTTCAATAAAAAAAATTAGCAACGTTACAATAATCTTGATGTGAGGAAATCTATCGAATATTATATTCTCAACATTTATCTAATATAAATATGTTGACAGAGAGGGTGAATGGGACGACTATATCACCGAGCATTAGCACGCAACCGAGATATATGAAAGAAGCTGGTCAGGTGCACAGGTCGGCAGCAATTCTACGACCACTCCTGATTATGTAAAAGAATGACGATGCTGATAGCCAATGACAATTTTTTTAAAAAATTGTCTACTTGACTATTAATTTCAGCAAATCTGCTGAATAATTCATTTGAAGGACTCTGCCTAATTCTTAATTTAAAGTTCTCTACTCAAATCTTAATTTCAGGAAATCTGCACACTGCTTCCTTCGAGGAACTATAGCCAATACTTAATTTTTTGCAACGTTAGCCAACGCTCAAACTAGACAATTTGACCGGAGTTGCCAGAATTTAATGAATCAGTTTTCGAAGCATTTGTCATCATTACGCAAGCCAGTCCTGGAAATTAGTTTGTAGCTTCTGGGAAGAGAACATTGAATGTGGACTAATTATCTCTGGTTTTTAACTAGATTCTTCATTAGAGGCACCCACGACGACAAGATTTGAAAATCAAGTGAGCTCATTTGCAAGGCAAATATTAGCACAATCACGCGCGTGCACGTGCACACACACACACACACATTTCATATTACTATAAGCTTGTAAACATAGATCATGTCACACTATGAGGTCTGTAATCCACTAGAGTCGTAGGGGTACCACTACACCCATAGGAGCAGTAGTGTATATTTAATCCTATCCTTCAAAGAATTCAGGTGTACATTTGACCTAGCCGTGGTGGAGATCCGCGATTCACTCGTTGTCAGTAGCTGTCTTCACGCGAGGGAAATAACCGTATGACAGGTTGATATATAAACACCCACCCTGGAGAAGAGGAATAATCTCTTACATTCGCATATGAAAGTGCGAGAGATGAAGAAAAGATGAAAGAAGATGAGAAGACTTTAGTG